ACCTGTAGTGCCTCCAACCCGATCACTGATTGCACAAGTGCAGATGCCGGTTTCAAGTGCATTTCTGACAACGGTTGCTGCGATTATGAAGTCGACTCCAATGGAGTCAAGGTCAAGGCCAAGGATGCGCTTGCTTTGGCCACTGTGGCACTGTCGGCAGCAGGATGCAGCGTGACCAACCCTTGCGCATAGATTCATAGATGCTGATTGCCAAGAGTACGGCAGAGACTTTCGGTGGTCTGAAGAGCGAAGACCTCCCAGGGAGCGAAGACTCTTCTGGTTGAGGGGCTTCCTAGCTCAGTTCGCAGATCAGTACTGTTTCGTTGCTGTGCAACGGAAAGCCTTTGCGGTCAAAAAGGGACACTTCTGAAGTTCTGAAGAGATCGTTTCTCAAAAGAATAATCTTTCAACGAAGATTCGGCATAGAGCCTATGCTTGGAGAATCACGGACATGGGACTTTTTCATGTCCTTTTGGGCGACGCAACGCCACGTTGTCGCTGCCAGACATGGACTGCGCGGAGAACACTCGCCAGAGGCTGGAGACTATCCGGATGTCATGTTTTCTTTACCTGAAGCTTGGTACATTCATTCATCTTCAAAGGTGGTGAACATACAAGTTACCTCAAATTGCTCAGGTCAACACGCGCTCATACAACCTGGCTCGTTCGCATGTGCGCGTGCGCCGCGTTTGCCAAGGGTACGCATCTTTCTCCTCTGCAAGAGGGCCGCTCGAGTTCCGTTCGATCCTCAGACCCGGACGTCGCCGGGGACCGTCGAACGCCGCTCGCCCCGTCGAACCGCGGGGTATTTGGAGGCCGAAAAGTATTCGCCACCCACCGACAACAGCGGTGCCCGACGGCTGGCAGAGGCGTGTGGGGTGGGACCAGCGTGTGGGGACCCAAAACCGCGCCAGCCCTTAATTTGGGGTGTTAAGTCCTACTTACTCTCTCTCTCTCTCTCTCTCAAGGAAGGCCATAAGCTTTCCTGCAATGTTTTCAAAATCTGATACCTATGGCGAAGCGCAACGTAGTATTGGTGTGCTTCTCCAGGTTTTTGCCATCTGCCACCAGTTCTGGGCTCTTTCATATCGGCAGCGCTGCCACGTGGCCATGTGCAGGAATGGCCGCAAACCAAGTTCATCCTACAACGCGAGATCGAGGCGGACGAAGTGCGTGGATTTAGGCCCACGTTGACTGGTACATTGACAAAAGCAGTGACGGAGATGCATAAAGTGACGGAGTTGGGCAGCCCTGAGACGTCAGCCAGGCGCGCAGCCAGCGGATCTCTGCCAACTGGCACCAGTGGCAGCGCGCAGAAGCCAGTGCCAGGGCCGCCTGGCAGGGTTTCACACAGCGTCGGGGTTCCACACGAGCGAGACAAGCGAAAAGGGAAGAGCAAGAAAGAAAACGAGGAAGGCAAGAGCTCCTGAATTCAAGGGGCCGTATGAAGAGAAAGGGCCCAAAACACGTTCTTGTTTCCTTTCTTGCTTTGATTTCTTGGTTTCCAGTTCAAACCCTGAGGGCAGTTACGGCCCTTCAAGATGTGACCCACACCTCGACAACATAGCACCGGCCCTCCCAACCTAAGAGCAATGGCCTCCAACCTACTAGCGCTGGTCTCCAACCCACTAGCGATGGCCTCCAACCCAACCTAAGCCCACTCAGAAGCTCCTCCAAGTCCTGGTCCACACCACCTGGGCGACGAGATCGTCTCGTTTCCCTGAGGCCGCTCCCGTCGACGAGCCCGCCAGACCTTGGCGCAAGCTTATTGTGGTGGCTGTGGCATGTCGTAGGAGGATAGCGAAGTCATCTCAGCTAAGTGGGAGAACCACCCTTACATAGTTCTACGAGTCTTGCGGCACTTCTGTCAGTTATCTTTAGTCGCTAGCTAGCTTGCACAAGGACACAACGAGCATGACAGGTCTGCGCCAAGCTGCCTTACACCTTCATATGGGACGAGGAGCCTGTCTTCCTTCCCGCCCCATGCTTTGGGAAGCCTCTCCCCTTCTGGTCAACTCGAAAGTGAGTCTGCTTCTTTATTGGAGCTTCCACGAAGTGCCAACTCCAATCAATCACGTCACCGGACCAGAAGGGCGATTACCACACTTCCACCTGTTTTCTCCACTTGTTTCTTCTGTCTTCTTGGCTTAAAAAACACCACCGGGGTCACCGCTTCCGAATGTCATTCACTCCGACCCGCTCCAGGAGAAAGGCATCGTCTCTTTAGAGTGCGACCGCTTTGAGGCCGCGCGGACCGCGAGGCGTTCGACCGCGGCCGGGGAGTCCCCCCCGAGCGGCGAGCGGCCCGGTTTCTGTGAGGCGAACTTTGCGGAGATCCTGGCCGCCGAGATTGCCGAGGGCCAGGCGTTTTGGGGGTTTTGGGCTCTCTTTTTTTTTTGCAGTATTTCGATATCTTCTTTGGGATATTGGTTTCTTTGTGATATTTTTGTATTCCGTCTTGACTGCTGGGTGTTTCGACTTGCCCAAACTTGGGCAGACGCTACGTACATTGGTTGCACGGCGCCAGGTACATTCCTCCATTTGCGTCAGACCAAGCGAGGCGCGAGAGAACGATGGAATGTTCGATTCTCATCCACCTCGGTCTTTATGTTTCCCCACATCATGAGTTGGTCCATCTCAGAAATCTCAAGGCTCTATTTTTGCTTATGCCAACTGGAATCCATTGACCAAACAAACCCCTTGGCCCATCCAAGCCCATTCCAGTTGCGCCGTCGCCGGTGACGCGCCGGTGGTCCGAGTCCAGGTCTATTTGATTGGTGCGCCGGTGGTGCGACGAGCATCGGACCGTCCGCTGCTGAGAGAGGACAGAGTTGGTGTTCACAGCTGAGCCCGCGCCCCGAATTCGCGTCCGGTCGCGAACGGTTCGATGCCGCGATGCCCTTGTTCCTAGTAGTGAGGCCAGGGGCTCCTACAGAGTAGCGTCCTAGCTCTAGGAACGCATGTACAGTTTGGTGCTAGACACTCACAGTTTGGTACCAAACACAGGGAGCAGTATACAAGACGTCGGACATCGATATGCATTGCCTCAACACTTTTAGGAGGCTCAGAAGTCAATAAAAGAACATGGGCTTTTCATCCCTATATAAATGGTTTTGCTGCAGACCGCTCCGCCGTTGGTAAAACCTGACCAACCTGCCCTTCATGCCCCACTCTGCAGGACTTGAAATCAGATAGGTTGATCAGTCTGCTTGATTGAATGGCTTCGAGGCTTTCAAGCAGAATCGCCTGTGTAGCTCTCCCGATGTAACTCTCTCCTGAAGACTTTATCTGGCCCTACACACGGGCCCCGTGTAGAACTCTTGGGCCGTTGTCTCGGTGGAGGTTCTCTGGTGACCTGCAACGAGAACGAGGGCCTCCAGCAAGAGCTGGCAAGCGTCCTCCGGAAAGAGGCGAAGGTGGCGGTTTGTGGCGCCAGCCTGGTTGTGGGCGACCAGCATGGTGTAAAGGGTGGTGGATTCTGAGAGCAGAAAAGCTGCTCAGGCTTCACATTCTTTGGCCGTTTTGGGCAAGTTAAGAGTAGATTCAGGTGAGATGCGCTTTGATTCATGTTGATGTTTGTTTCTTGAACGACTGAACACCGGAGGTGGAGACAGTGCCGGTGTTCCCACCACCTGGGCGCGATCGCTTTGGAGATAAGGCATGATCGCAGACGCAGCATACTGGGAAGTTTTTTGTTGGATATGTTGATGCAGAAAAGTCTCAGTCTCTAGCGCATCATGGTCAAATCAAGCGCCATAAGGGCCGTAAAGCCGTACAGCCCAAGTCTTATAGACTACGAATTAGCCCTCAGCTTTTTGATGGTTTCGATCTGTTTCGATGTTTCTGGTACTCCGAATGGATTTCCAAACCGATTGGACCCACAGTCCTCCGGCCCGCCAGGTGATTTTTCCGCTTTTCCACTACACGCCCCCTTCCATGGAGACTGGCATTGGTGCGGGGCTTGCAGGGCCCTTCCACGGCATGAAGGGGGGATATTTTTCCGCAGAAGGGCTCTGGCTCATAGAGTGATAGCTTGCTGCAGGAAGGTGGCTTGCTCAGTCTTTCCGAACTTTCCATGCAGGCCTCTACGACTGGGAGGGCTACACGCTTGTGAATGAGACCTTTAGAGATGCTGCGCCTGGGATTGCGTTGGCGAACATTTTTCCCCAGATAGCTGGAAGCTATAGGGGTTCTTACTTCTCAATGGATGGGTTCCGGATTGCGGAAATTGGCTGCCGCTGCCGCCTTGTTTCCTAAGCTTGTCTCCCTTCATGATTTCGCTTTTAGCTGCCGCTGCCGGCTTGTCTCCCAAGCTTGTCTCCCTTCATGACTTTGCTCTTGGCTTCCGCTGCCATCTTGTTTCTCCCGCTTGTCTCCCTTCATGACTTCGCTCTTGGCTGC